AGCTAACGTGTCAAGGGAAGATAAAGTTATAGATTTTATAAAAAAAATTAGTCCTATTCCGACGCTTTAAAAATTGTGGGATTTGTAAGGGCCTCCATGCCTTCCTAGCTTGATCATTTGAATGGGATCGAGTCTCACGCATGAAATCACATTCATGAGGTACGTCAGTTTGCTAGACAGATGTCAAATGTAAATGAGAAAGCAAAATATTTTGTATGGCCAAACAACAAATAGTTAATAAAAGGCTCTATAAACAGATTTCAAATGTAAATGAGAAAGCAACAAAATTTATATGGCCAACAACAAATAGTTAATGAAAGGCTCTAATCATAATGATGAAAGCAAAAAGATATTATATGCTCTCGGGGTATACTGTTCATTTACTCCCTTAAGTAAAACCCACCTAGAATTAGTTTTAGGACCACCCTAAAATTTTGGAGATGTAACCTCATTAGCACATAGATTAACCTTGATAAATTTCTTTTTCTCATTACAACTTCTAAGCAATTGAAAAAACTAATGCTTCAAGATTGAACATAAACTATCCAATTTTTAAAGGGTGAGATCCAAGCATTAGAAAAACTCAAGTTTCAATTTTGTTTCTACGAATAATTGTCTAGTTATTCGTAGTTACCAAATTTTAATTGAAAGAATCCTCTCAAGTAGGTTATTGGACCAAGGTAGTAGGAGTAATCTATGCTCCCTCGAGAGCATAGTATACACGCTCCAAAGAAAAATCAACTTTATCATATAAACTAAAATTTAAGATTTAGGAGTGCATGTACTATGTTCCCGCAAGAGCATATGGGACATCTACTCCCCCAGTCAAAATGCTATGGGACATCTACTCCCCCAGTCAAAATGCCTAGTTAGATTGAAATTTTAAGTCTAAACAGTTGTAAATCATATAAAAATTATTAGATTATTTTTAAAATAAAACTTTGAATTTTGAGTTTTGTGACAATTAGATATAACCTTTTTAAAATAAGACGGTTTCAATTCAATCTCCAGGCATTAATTTTTACTAGTACATAGAGAGTTTATTTCTAAACATTTTTAGCTGAGATTATTCTATGGGTTGTACAGATTACATCGTAAAATTTGAGATCTAAAAAGTACCTTTAGCATGTGTTTTGCTCTAGGAAGGAAATGAATAGTATATTCCTACGAAGTTGGAAATCTTTTGGCATAATTTAATTAAATGAGGTAATCGCATCTGGTTCGTCCATTTGCTTCCAGAAATATCAAGTGCAGCGACATAAAAGTGCCCCCCCATCAATTGCAATAAATAATAAACTAGAAAGGTCATCCCCCAAGAAAAGCAATTTTAATGCATAAATAAAGATAAAGATTTATTGGAAGTGTAAGGAAGCCAGCTTTCGGTGTTACAAAAGCTAATTAAACCCTTGCTTCTGACCCTTTCTCTTCAATTCAAATGTACCCCACTAATTTTTTTTTTAATTGAGAAATGCCATTTATTTCTTTATCATTTCTTATACAAATGAGACTGTGTACTTTGTTCCCACTATAGCATATTCTATATTTTGATTCCTCTGTAAAAGAACCACAAGAGAAAGAATTTTGACACGAAAGTTTCTTGTGTCCATCTAAAAATCACACTATGGTTGTTCCTTTTTTTTTTGCCTTTTTTTTTTTTTAAGCTGTATTTTGAGTTCTTAGATTTGAATGTTTGAGAAGTGGAAGATCTTTGTCCAATCTTAGGGCATTAAAATTTATAGGCACTTAAATAAGTGAATTTTTTGGGATTTACGTATGGGATGGGTTAAAAATTAAAAAATTTACCCTTTTGTCCATAAGTTCAATAATTTTATTGCAAGGTCCTACTGCCATGATTTTTATTAGTCCTTCCAAGTTTTCCCGATTGAATGTTTCAAATAATAAACCACTTATTTTATTTCACTTTTTTGTTATCTTTTAAAATTTGTGGGGCATTCCAATGTTTAAAATATTGAAACACCCTATTTACGTGGTAGTCTACTAATTGCAACATCATACCTCCCTACGTTTTTGGCATATCCTTCTTTCTATGGTGGTTTGATATTACAAATATCATATTGTATCTTAAGGTCCCAACTTTCGATCATCTGACCGAGATACTTAAGAAAAAAAGTTCTTTTAAAGCTTGACAATATTTGAAAGCTCCAACTAGTGAAAAAAAAAAAAAAACGATAAAAATAGTGGTCCAATATTAGTAACATCAGACGAGCCCATAAACAAACATTGATGAAAAATGTTGGGCGGTTCGATGGTTCAGTTATTGGACAACCCTACAAATGGGAGAGTTTAATATATTGAATAACATATCTCCCCACAAATATTGAAAACTTAAAAAGAAAAAAAAACCAAATATGGAGTTAGATGTTTGAAACATCGGAGGCAAATATAAAAAAAAATGAGGAGCAAAACCTTGCGGTAAAATTACCAAAATTATGTCCCAAAGGATAAATTTGGTAATTTATCTGCTCGGTGCATAAAAATCCTTTAATTTTTTTGTCTTTTCTTTCAAGAGGTTGGTATCCAGATTGAAGGTGTTGTTGGGTTTCAGAAGAAAAGCACCAGTGGAGTGCTTTGAGTGAGAGTGAGTGGAGAAAATGATCCTGCCTCTTGACACCAGTTATGATGAGGGTGTTTTAGACTTATCACGAAGACCAACCCTTTTGTCACCCTTGCTTACACTGTCAATCAATACATCTCCTGTACTGATCAACATTGCTTGTTCTCTTTTTCTTTTTTAATCTAGGAAAATGTTACTATACGGTCTATTTCCCCAAGATTATGATACCGTATTTGTTTCAAATTTTTTCTTAAAGAATAGCCATAAACATAATTTTTTGTATAGAAAGTAAAATATAAGTATCCTGTTTGGTAATTTAGTGGGTAACTTGTAAGTTAAGTTTAGTGTAAAAGCGATATGGTGCAAATCTGTAGTAAAACATAAAATGTAACAAAAGATAAAGAAATAGTTTTAGTCGCTTAAAAATATGAAGGTGTCTGTTGATTATCTTTATAAATTAGGTAGATATCTATTTAGAGATTGTATACAATGAGACTATTTACTTTTAATATAAAGATGTCACAATTACTTACAGCTATCTGACATAAATTTTGATAGCAAAAAAATCCTACTAAAAATGCCCAAAGATTCAGTTGACCATCTTGGGTTAAACGTCTTATATTATACAATAACTTTAGAAAATCTTTAGCCATCTTAAGGAAGACTGACCTATTCAACTATGAAGAAAATGGGCCCTAGTATATCTTTTTTTGTTTTAAAAATTTTAATTGGTCCATTTCATTAAATAAGGAAGACAGAGGAAAAGGTGCTCTCACAGAAAGAAAAGAAAGGTTTTTTTTTTTTAAGACCTAATCTTTATGATGAAAAATAAAGCCCAGCCAAAAATCCCTACCATGGAATACATTCTACACAGGAAAATCTTTAATTCATTATCTTGACCGCAATGATAGATTTGAAAAAAAATTGACTTCAAGCTCTAAAAATAGGGTCTTCCAATATATCTAATATATTTAATGTATCGTCTAGATCATCTATTTAAAGTATCACAAATCCAAATTTCACTATCGAGAGCTTGAAATTATATAATCAGGCACATTTTCAAATTATATAATCAGGCACATTTTCAAGTAATCACATGCGTATCCAAACTTTACTAGAGCTCGAAATTTTATAATGAGAGAAAAATTAAAATTTTCCAATCCATCGTAAGGATTTCCTTTGCGACTTTAACTTTGGTTTTATTAGTTTCTTAAAACTTGGCGATTTCTAATCTGGATAGGAATTAGTCAGGACCGAACCAGTTCTGAGGTAGTATGCGGCATCTTACTCCTCCTAAAATTCCTCCATTTATATTTAGGATCCGGTTTCTATGCGGCCAAGGCCGCACATGTAGAAATGTGGACCTATTAATAAATCTATTTTTGATATGGATTTTTGAACTTAATTTTTAACGACATGTAATCTCTAACATGGAGATAATGAATATGAAAAAATAAGTAAATTTTAAATACTAGAAATAATAACTATAGTAAGAAAACATTTGAACCATTAGTTTCTATTGTTTTTAGATGGAACGCCTACTTGCATCCATCTTTAAGATGGATGCTTTACACTTTTTGGATTGTAGTCATGCAATCCAGCCCTCATGAAACAACTTTCTTTATATTTATCTTTATTTAGATTTTCTATTGTTTTTTTCAGTTCCTTTAAATCCCCATCATATATTTTTTATTTGTTTTTAAATTTTACATCACTATTTCAGCTTAATTGAGATTGCTGGTCTAGCGATCTGATAAGAATATGTAGGTAAAGGATTCACCCCCATCCATCTGGGTTTAAAATAAGGGTATGCTTTGCATAATGTTCAACCTGAAACAATCCAATTAAGGTGTACCTCTTAAATTTTTATAATATTGATGTAAAAAATTGTTAGGATCATTTGAGAATCTATTTTTATTTCTAATTATAAAATTTTAAACTTTAAAAATGGTTTAAATCAAGTAAATCTATAAACACATGAAAATCTTAAAAATAGAAGGTACGTATATTGTGTTGGAAGATATACTATTTTGTGGATTCGAAATCTTTTTTCTTTTTCATATTCATATATTTTGATATCTGCCCCACCGGCCGAAAAAGCGATAAAGTCCTGAAGGGCTCATGTGTCATACGATAAAAGAATAAGATAAATTTGGTCCTTAAAGCCAATTCTAAAATCATAAAAGAACGGAGAGAGAGAAAGCCGGGCAACAAATCTAAAACAACCAGAAAAGCAGTCGTGGGCGGTGCATTGTGGGGCCTTGGACGGTCGCCTGTGCCTGAAAGCACCACACACTCTCTCTCTAAAACTTAAACTCAACTTTCTCCCTCTCTCTAAACGTGGACCTTTTCTCTCACTACAATGTTCGTCGATTTAGAGAGAGAGTGTTGCGTTGGGTCGAGAGAGAGTATTGAGTTGAGTCTAGAGAGAGGGTCGAGTGAGTTTAGGGAGTGCTGAGCTGAGTTTTTAGAGAGAGTTTTGAGTTGGGTTTAGAGAGAGAGAGAGTGTGTAATTTACGCATTGCCTGCTTACTGGCGGTTAGTTTTTTAAAAAGTGACGTCTCCACATTCCATTCTCCCCCTTCCACTTTCTCCATCCATCTCCTCCTCTCTGCAACTGCCCATCCTCTCGCTCTCTCTTCCCCCAATTTTCAGTTTTGCGGGGGTGAAAAGCAGTGGTATAGGTAACCCCTTATCTTTGTTCTCTCTTTGTGAACTTCACTTTCACTAGAACAATGTCCTTATGCATTTCTTCCTTTAAATTCGCGATCTTGTTCTTCATGATTGCTTATTCTTTTGACAATGAGCTGTGGCCTCTCTCTCTCTCT